TAAAGCCACTTTAACATATTTGGACTTCAAATACTTTGCAATCCATCTGCACAAAACACCAAAAGTGGATAAATGAACTGAGCCCAATTTAGAAGAAAGGGAAGTTCAGTCTGAAGAGTAAAAGTGTTTTGCCTGGGAGAGTCAACATGTCAGAGCTGGGAATAAGAACTTGGGAGTTCCTGGCTGGGGCTCTGGCCTTTGTTTCTTTCTTCCCCTGAATGGGGAAATAAGGAAATGATTAACTGCAGCCTCCCTCAGTCTAGCGCCTTTGCGTGTGTTTCCCCCTCAGTCAGCCATGCCTCCATGTGCAGCTCTGAAGTTCGTCTTTCTCGCTTGAGCACAGTTCTGCAGAATACAACGACGGGTCACTTCATGAGTGCAAGGGGAAAAGAGTACAGTTTCTGCTCTCAGTCAGAGATGTGACAGACTGCTTAGCTTCCCGGGTAACTGGGAGATGGCTGGGCCTTCCCCTAGGTCTGACCCGAGCTGGGATGAGCTCTGTAGTCTTGCTGGTATGCCTTGGAAGTAACTGGCTAGAGGCTAAGAAACATAAACCAGCCGGGGCTGGCTGCAGTTCTTCTGGGACCCATGTGGCCCTGGGAAACGGAAGTTTGCTCTCCAGAAAAAAGAAAGAAAAAGAAAAGAAAACCACTGCCAAGTCTCTCCTTTCCAATTACAGTTGCAGCTTTGTTGTTGGAGTAGCTCTATCTCTGACGTAAAACAGAACTGAAAACATGGCCAACTGGTGACAGGTATTGGAAAAGAAAAATAAATAAATAAAAGCCACGCATTGTGTTCAGCAGCAGCTTTGGTTTCCGTAAGAGAAAAATGTTTAACCAAGAACTCGCTGTATAGCATTTTGCCAGGTTGCTGCAGAGCTCTAGGGAGCTGGAGGGTGCCAACCTCCAGCTGGGGTGGTGGGCACGTAGTCTGGATGGCCACCTGCCTGTGGGACTGCTCTTTTGACTGTAAAGCCAAAGGCACTAAACTTTGTTTTACCACTGCAGACATGGACGAATGCAGCTTCTCAGAGTTCCTCTGCCAGCACGAATGTGTGAACGGGCCTGGTTCTTACTACTGTATCTGTCCTTCGGGCTATAACTTGCTTGACGATAGCAGAAGCTGCCAAGGTAAGAACATTCCTGTGCTGATTAAAACCCAAGGGGACCAGAAAACAGGTCCTGTGTCTGAAAAGAGGCTTTCAAGAATTGAGATGCTTGGTCTTGGCATTGCACAGTGAAATACTTGTAGGGGCCAATTACATAATTCTGGTAAGAATGTCATCATGTGAACAGTCCCACTGAGGTGAGTTGGTGTGTTCATGTGAGTAAGACTTTACTGACCAGGAAACAGCTACACAGGAAAGCCCTCAGATGCTCTCCTCTCTGCTACACGTCTCTCTTTAATTTTCCCATTCCCTAAGGTCAGAGAGCTTGAGCAGCCAATTTCTTTTCTATTTTTGCAGCACTTAGCATATGGGAGCACTCCAACAAGCAGAAATGAATGGAGTGAAAACTGATCTTGAAAGAGGGGCCAGTCATCAAAAGGTCACTTCTCATGGTGCAAGAGTGTTATGAATTTTGGGGCAATTCCTTAAGATGGAAACCAGTTTGTAGGAGTGGTGTCTTGCACATATTTCCCTGCTTTAGCCTTTCTCGTTTCTTGTGTTTTAGATATCAATGAATGTGAAACCAGAAACTTCACCTGCACTCCGCAGCAAACGTGTTTCAATATCCCAGGAGAATATAAATGTTTAGACCCAGTAAGATGCGAGGATCCTTACATCCAGATTAATGAGAAGTGAGTAACATACCCACCGCCACAAAAGCAAATTCTGTCTGTGTGAAGTGTATCTAGAGCAAACCAAATAAGTTGCATTTTTACAACACAGCCATGAAGTGTGTCTAGAGAGCTATACATACATGCTGTTGCTGCATTTACCATTGGTAAGCTTTATGAAAATAATAAAATGCAATTCCTTACCAGGTCACCAGGTGGGATATGATATGATGCTCAGATATGTGGGAAGTTAGACTGGAAAAACACTTATCAGTGAGTAGAGAAAACAGCAAGGTTTGTAATGTAATAAGAGACATTTACTTACACTACTAACTGACTTCATATATGCTCAAATGCAGTCTGTTTATTAGTATGAGTATTTCCTGTAAATATTAACTACCTTATGTCTGGGAAGTACTTTAAAACATTAGATGATAGTTATACAGGATACAAGTAGTTTCCTACTGCTTAAAGGTTAAAAGTGCTGAAAAGTCCACAGACTGACTTAACTCGTTCAGAAATTGGGTATGTCTGGATGAGGCTGTTAGCACTGTTACTGTCTAAATTTGGAATTATTGGAGCGAGCAAAAAAATAAATCCCACATTTCTAAAAGTTGCCTGTTTCTTTTACATTTTTGTAGGTTATTTTCCTGGGGCTCAAAATATTTCAGCTCCAGACAGATCTCTCTATATTGCAGCCCATACTATTTCATCCATAGTGTTTCCACTAAACCCAATTACTTGAGATTGGTTGGTAGCCTAACGGATTTTATAGAAAGGCAATTGATGAAGAATCAGCTTCTTTCCATTATAATTTATTCATGTCCTTACTTTGCTTTCTGAACTAGAGCAGCTGAGGAGTGAACACGTTCTGTTCTTCCAGTTCTGGGTTTACCTACCTTCAGAGGTGGTAGAGTCTTTAACTGGAATTGGAAGTATCTCTGAAGCCTCTGTATCTAAATTCCCCAGAGCCCAACTATAGAGTCCTCGCAGATCAGCTTGCACCAGAACTCTTGATCTCTGAGCTTTGTGTTTGGTGGCTTTGGCTCGTGACTAGATGTGACTGCATTTAATTTGTGGCATATGTCTAGAAGTGGTCAGTATAAAAGCCAAGTGAATTCCTTGCATCCGTGTTTTCTGTGGAAAGAATTGGGTGTTTGTAATGCCAGGAGCCTTTTTATGGGGGACATGCCAGATGAACTGTCTGAAATTGGTGTCGGTAGTGGAGGTTATAGAAAAAACAGGCAAAAAGACCCAACTCTTTTCCAGCAAATTCCCCAGCATGGCTTTTATAAAGGGACATCCTGCCTCACAACTTTACTAGAGTTCTCTGAAGAAATCAGCAGCATGTGGCTAGGGCACATGGGCTGATGCAGTCTGCGTGGGTTTCCAAAGGCTTCTGAAAAGAACCTCACATAAGGTTATTATGGAAATTAAGCAGCCATAAGTAAGAGACAAGTCCCTGGCACAGAAGAGTAAGAGGTTGAAAGATAAAAAAGAAATACAGTATTAAATCGTCAGCTTTCACAGTGAAGTTCTGTAGAGGTCTGAGCTGGACCTACTTTGTCCAACATATTTGTAAGCAACCTGGGAAAAAGGATAAACCATGAGATGGGCAAAGTCTGCAACAGTATCTGATGACAGTAGAGAAAAGGGTGGACAGAAAAGAATTGCAGAAGGATCCTCAGTGACTGTGCAATAAAAATGTTAGATGAAATTCTGTGTAGATGAATGTAAAGTAAAAAGACAATTCCAAATTCACAAATTAAATAAAGAGCACTGATCTGATCATAATCCATCCAAACTGAGATTTGAAGGTTGTTATAGATAGTTCCGTGACATGCAGTACGCACTAGAGGTCAGAAAAGCAATCTGAATTTGAGGTGTTAATAGGTAGATACTATCCTTAGAGCGCGTGCCGTTGTGTACCCGTATCTTCAAGAATGTGCAGTTCCTTCGCCTCCTCTCAAAAGAAATATAACTGGACAACAAAGAGCAATGAGGGTGATCAAAAATATGGAATACCTCCCTTGTGAGAAACAGCTAAGTTAGGACTCTTCAGCCATGAACAGGGTCAAATACGAAACCCTGAGCTGCATGGGGTGGATAAGTAGGGATCGACTGGCCGCTCTCCTTGCCACAGAAGAGCTGGGAGCATCAGAGGAAGTCAGCAAGGGGCAGTGCAGAGAGAGGTGAAGGGGGCTGTGGAGCTCCTGGCCGCGGGGGCTGCGGACGTCAAACATTCGTGTGGGTGTAAGGGGAGGCTGAACAAGCTGTTGGATAAGAAATGCATTAAGGGCTGATGAATACACAGAAGACATCTTTGTTTCAAGAATTTCTTGAGTCAGAAATAATTGGAGGCTGTTGGTGGAAGTGGTATATGCTTGGCTTGCTGTCCTGCTCTTCCTCAGGGCTCTGCATTTGATGCTAGAGCTTTGGTTTGATCCAGGATGTCTCACTGTATGTTTTCCTGTAGTATATAAAAGATTGTTAAATGCTGAATACAACATTTATGTAGCACCATCAGTGAAATGATCCAATAATTAACATTATTTTTGGGACAGTTCAGTTTAAATTACTGTCAGAACAAACATGTACCAGGTATTAAGGAGACAAAGGATGCCAAGATATTTTGGCATAGAAGAGAAGAAAAAGAAGGCAGGGATATAGGTAGGCCAGAATAGCAACACAGAGAATACTAAAAGTGAGAAAATTCATTACAAGTTTCACTGATTCTTTTAGCTAGTCGACAATATTATTTGTTTGTTTATTTATGCAGCTGTATTTGCATGTAACGAATCAAATATTACAGCAATTTGTAACCCCTGATGACAATCCTATTTCTGACAATTAGCCGCTGCATGTGTCCAGCTGAAAACGCCGGTTGCAGAGATCAGCCATTCACCATCTTGTACAGAGTGATGGATATGGTGTCCGGGCGGTCTGTGCCTTCTGACATTTTTCAGATGCAAGCAACAACTCGCTACCCTGGAGCCTATTACATCTTCCAAATCAAGTCGGGGAACGAGGGCAGGGAATTCTACATGCGGGTAAGTCTGGCGCTCACCGAGAGAAAACACGGAGTATCTTCCTGTTAGCTGAATATTTTTCTGATAGCAAAACTCAGTTTTAAATTAATGTCATTTAAACCTCCAGTATGAGGCATTTTTAGAGGCAGACATGCAGGGGCTGCTGGCTCTTTCAGGAAGGTAACCTACCCAAAGCAAACATGCTTGTTTTATGAGACGTTAGGTTCAGGAAAGTCCAGGGCTGTACCCATGTCTGCGAATAGCTTAGGTCTCCCATGCTCAAGAGAAAATATAGTGCCAAACTCTTTTTTATTTGATGGACAATCAGTAATTGTCACTGAAAGAGTCAACATTTCTCATTTGTTTTATTAAACGCTTCATTGGATATTGGAAAACCCGAAAACAAAAAAAGTGAGCAAAAAAAACCCCTTTATCTCAATAATTGACTTTCTGGGTTCTTTTCTTTCATTTGTTATGTTTTTTTGTTCACTGAGAACACATATTTTGTGTAGACGCTGTTAGAGAAAACACAACTGCTTTTTTTTTTAATCTGAATTTTCCTCAGAAGACATCTCCGTTCCTCAGTCATCTTCACTCCACCTCTGACGCGCAGGGGTGATGGGAAGTGTCTGCACAGAATGAGGCACAGCCATGAGGGACGGCGGCATTCAGAAGGTTGATTTTTAACCCTAGCCAAAACTCATGTTCACATTAAGTGATGTACAGTGGCTATTGATGGTTCCCATGCCTCACAGAAACCAGTAGCGTGATGGATTTCGGTAGATAGACACATTTCTCCCGAGAGCCTCAGGTTCTCACTGTGACAAGACAGAAAATGTTGCAAAATTCCAAAATGACAAGTGGTCCAAGAATGCTCATTCACGTCTCACAAGATCTTTCCCGTTGCAAAGCCATTGCTGATCCCACCGACCTTTTCCCCTCGTCTCGCTTGTTCTGCCAGACGCTAAGGCTCCAGCGACCAGCATCGTTGCTCGAGTCTGCCAGTTTTCTTTTACTTATTTATCACACAGCCATTCCTTCGCCACCTAAACCACCCCGCTTGCACCAGCCGCCCTCTCCCCGCCGCGGGCGGCAGCGCCGTCCCCCTCTCAGGCTGGCAGCCAGCAGGTGGTGCCCATTGGTTGCGCTGGGAAGGGCGGGAGCGGCGGGCGGGAAGGGCAGGGGCGCTGCTCCCCGCGGCTGAGGCAGCGGGGCCCGCCGCCCGCCGCCCGCCTCCTCCTCGCCGCTTTCTCGGGCTTCTCCGAGCAGAGATAACGCAAACGCTCCGTTTCGCGGTAAAACAGGTGCCGCTTTGTGCTTCTGCTGGAAAACAAATTGCACTTGGTTTTAACGTCGGCAGCTCTGATTTTTAAACGCTCATAATCCACTGTTCTGGCCAGATATTTCAACGGTCTGCTTCCACTTACTAAAAGACAGGTTTTTCTGAAGTGCCTTCACAGACTTAAAGCTCTCTTCAGAGGGTAAGGTTTTGCAACGTTAACATACACAGTTATCCAACAAACCCTGATCCTGTTCACATAGGCACATCTGTTCTCCAAGCTCTGTTAACATAACCCCTTCTTGGTGTTCGCTGCTTGAAAGTAACAGTGCTCTTTACATCAAACAAAATAATATCTCACGCACAAAAAAAAAAAAAAAGGTGTCACTGCTTGTGCATATGCTAAATCCATGTTTTAATCTTTTTCCATTTGGACAATAGCAAATTTCTACGTTCAATAGCTCCTTTTATGTGCAGGGCTCCCAAAGGCTTTACAAACTGTAGAAGGTGATAGTTCATACAAAACACCAAAATGGAGCCAAATGCTGAAATGCAGCTCCCTCTCCCATAAATTGCAGTAGCTTCTAACAATGCAGCAGAAAACAGTGTTATTTTGGCTGCTTAAAGACCATGGCCATAATGTGGTCTCACCTGAGACGGTAGTTTTCAAGAGCCGTTTTTTAAAATCTCACCTGTTTCCTCTTGTTTTGTGCACAGCAAACGGGACCGATCAGTGCTACTCTGGTGATGACCCGCCCTGTGAAGGGGCCCCGTACAATTCAGTTGGACTTGGAAATGATCACTGTTAACACCGTCATCAACTTCAGAGGAAGCTCTGTCATCCGGCTGAGGATATACGTATCACAGTACTCCTTCTAAAGCTTGAGTTTGTGCCCTGGAAATATTAAAACAAAAGAGACGGTTCCTCCTCTGCAGAACTCTCTCCTCAGAAGCCAGTACGTATAGCAGCTCTAAACCAAACCAATATTTCCACAGACCCGGTGACCTATGCCTGTCCGAGGAGGGAGGCCTCTTCCTGCACAGTCCCTACCAGGATGCAGACACCTGAAGATGTATCGTCAGCAGATCCCATATGATTCTCTATGTGGTTATATATTTTAAGGACTCTTCTTTCCATTGTAAACACTTCTAGGGTGTAAGTCTATGTTTGAAAGACTGTGAACCTTTGTAGCTCTGAGGCTGCTTAGCAAAAAGCACCAAAGAAACTGAGGAAAAAGCTGGCTTTTGCAATCTTGCCTTTTTTTTCATTCTAAATGGAAAGCAGACGAACAAGCAGAAACAGAAACAAAAAGCCACCTATTGAAACAAGGGATCTCAGAAGTGCTAACTTACATTCCCAATTATCTCTGGAATTATCAGTCAGGCACTTTGTTTCAATTCACCCTGCATTTGTCTTAGTTTCACCTGTTTTTTTCTTTGATTCTATTTTATAGTTAAAATTCATTGTAAATTCATTCCAAAATACATGTTGTACTATGTAATCTTCTACTTTCTAACAAAGTGTCACATGTTTGGGTTCCTTCCTCTATTAAATCTTTCTATATAACAGAGTTCATAGAAATCTATCACTGATTGGTATGTTTTACAGTCTTTAGGGTGTTATGCCTATTTACACCCAAATTCTTTGACACAGGCCTCCACTGCCAGAATAGTGTCCAGGGACTTTAGAGCAGATGAGAATCAGAACTTTATTTTTCCCTGTTTTCCTGAGTGTGGTAGTTGCAAACAGTTTGTAATGGTTATAAGGCAGTGATACGCACTCTAGTTAAGGCTGCAACTAATCTCCTGTTCAAGGACCACTCAGCTCAGACCTGTCCAAATTCCTTCAGAAAAAATGAATTGTTCCGTTCACGTACAGTGTCTGTCCTACATTCCTAACGTTGGGGAAAATAAGCTGAAAAGGACTTGGACCAGTCTTATTGTTCGCGCCTCTGCCACAAAGCAGACCCCACTATACCAGTACCCAGACCTCAAACGATGGGATCCCACAGTTTCCATAGGCAATGTCTTCTCAGGTATAACTGCTGTAACCAAGAGAAAGTTTCTCCTAAAGTCTAATCTGAATCTCTGCTGTTGTAATTTAAATCCATTGCTTTTTAGCCTACTTCCAGTAGAAATAGAGTACAGTTTATGTTCCCCTTTGCAGCAGTCTTTAACATGTCTGAAGACTGTTGTCATGTCTCCCCTCAGACTGTTTCTCTCTAGTCTAAACAAACCCAATTCTTTTGGTCTTTCCTCATACATCACATTTTCTGGACCTTTGATCATTCTTGTTGCTCTCGTCTGGATTCTCTCCAGTTGGTTCACATCTTTCTTGAAGTGCAGTGCCCAAAACTGTGAAAAGTATTCCAGCTGAGGCCTCACAGTGCTAAGCTAAATCTATGTTTAGGAGTTCGGGAAAAAAAAACAAATGTATAGTTTGGAGGTACAATGCTTACCTCGTTGAAGCCAGTGGCAGTTTGGTTTTCTATTTTAGTAGGGATGAGGGTTCATACGCCTTGTTTTTAAATTTCTCTGGAGCAAGGTCTTTTGCTTCTTCCCCCTGCTTTTTCCTTATTGGCTCATTTGCTCTCCAGCATTGCTACAGCAGGAAAGATAACCTTTGCTTCATCTTTTTGAGGACTGGAAGTGCTTAATGCTACTTGGGAAAAAGAGTTTATGAAGATTATAATGCGAGCGGGCTGGAGCAGAGTAGTGAGGTCTTCATTAAAGTGGAGTATTAAATGGGAGAATACAGACTCAGAAAGTTGTCACAACACGGACTGCATGACTCAATCAGAAAATTGACTCTCTTGTTCCTAATAAGCTTCGTAAGTTAGTCTGGAGTTGTTTTTCCCTAGCTTTAGTAGAGACTCTGCTCTTTTTACTTGTAGTCAGCTTGAAGGAAGCCCTGATGCAATGGCTCACAGCAACGAAATGCTGAGTTGAGTGTGCTTTAGCAGCTTCCATTTCTTAATGGTTTAAAGTTTTCTCCGTGCTGCTACAATGTTCTGGGATCCTGTGGTTCAGAGCTCTGTACACAGGCTGTCCTTTATTGTAAAAACAACAAGGCTGGAGCCTGACTCCAGGGTTTAGTGAGCCAAGCTGAAGGCAGGAAGCCAATGAGTTTTGTGAGTAGCCGACTTGGAGGAGATAAATATAGAGGAAATGTGCAGAGAAATATCAGAAACAAGAATGTGTTTCCTGAGTGTATCATGGCTCATCATATACCACAGTCTTGGAGGGGAAAATAGAGGTGACCAGGAAGGAGGAATGCTAGTTTATAACCATGGGGCTAAAAGTGCTCATGTGTCCCAGATGATGGAAGTGAGACATGGGAAACAAGCAGGCTCTGGTGGCCCACAGAGCAGACAAGGAGCAGGCAGGGTCTTGCATTAAAGACGTTAAACTCTCAACATGCTGAAAGTTTTCCCAGTGCTTAAAAGCCCCTTTTTCCCCCATTCGCGCCCCTATGTTATGGCTTCTTCACGTCCAGTTGAGGAGTCCCCACTCTTCCTGCCATCACATCACCTTCTGGAGAGGAAGTGCACCCTGTTAGACATCAGACAGTTTCTCAATTCTGGGCTGTTCTCCCGTGGCCCTCACATACCAACCTGATTTAACCCTAATTTAGAAACATCAAACCCCAGAGGAATTCCATAACAAAACACTTTGTTAAAAGAGTAAAGCTTGAATGCTTAGTTTTAGCAGGGTCCAGCAAATACTTATAAAACAATGCTACACTTTCTATATAAACATTCTGCGCCTTAAAAAAAAAGTGAAGAGTCTGGAAACAAAGGAATTCAGCCACTTCTCAACCGCCATAACATCCTTCATCACTCACTATCACTCCAGCCAACTTTAACTTTGCCAAAATATATGCCAATCTCAAAATAATAAATTACTAGCAGTTTATAACATCTAAACTCTCCATTTCCTAGTCAGGGGTCTGTTTCCAATAGACCATCGCAGGCTCGTATATTACAGCAATTCTCACCAGATAAAAAAAAGGACTATGCATGTCAGGTTTTTACAGCATGAAAGTTAAAAATGCAAACTTGCAACTGCTGTATACATTCATGTTCTCCTTTGAGGCCAGGCCTCCCTAAAAGCAGACAGAATTCCAGGTCTGCCCAGAAAATGATTCTTTATTCTAACCTATTGCAGAGGATTTTCTAACACAAAGAGTTTTACCATATGGTTAATAGACAATATTCTGGCCAGCACCAGGTGAGGGCACTGGCCCTGGTCTTGGGTACGTGTGGCTTCCCTCCGGCTCTGCTCTGACACGCTCCTCGCTCCTTGCTCAGGGTGGCAGAGCCGTTCCCTGGCCGAGCTGGGGAGGGACAGCTCTTTGCCTCTCCTGCCTGTCTGCTGTCATGTCTGTTTAAACGAAGGTCCTCAGGAGAAAGATTGCCTCTCACTATGTGTTCGTACAGCATCTATTGCCAGTGCAATAATTGGAATAAAAGTAAACAAAAGCAGAAATGGCAGTAATCTTTGATAGAGATCACAATGATTGGGAAGGAGAATCTAATCTGATAAATTAACCGAGTGATTCATGCTAGTCGGGTTAGGTGCCAGAGGGAGAAGAACGGCAAGAGATGAATGATCCAGTGCTGTGGAGCTGAATGGGTCCTATCATCTGGCTTATTTGACTTGGAGATTTTTTTTTTAGGGGATTGACTTTTTTTTGACACAGACAACAAAATGTTATTTCCCCTAAGAGTTTGCTGGATCCTACAGAATCATTTTTCAACGCGTGCGTCTCTGACAACAATAACTTTGTTGAGAATAGCTAAGCTGCTTTGAGTACCTGGTCACCCACCATCACCGAGTGTAGTGTCCAGGGCCATTCACACAGAGCTTTCTCCTTTTCGAGCTGGGGGCCTGTACTCATTTTTACCTTTTATTGGCTCAGCTTTTAGAAAGGTCAACTTTCATTGTCTCATAAACATAGTATCAGCATCAGCAGAACTTACATACTCATTTTTCTCTGTCTAGAGCAAGCAGAGCAATAGAATCAGTACAGTTTTTGGTCATTCAAGTTCTCCAGTCTGGCTTATTCACAGAATATGCTACTGAATATCTTCTGTAGCATGTAGCTGTATTAGAACCCAATGAAAATTTCATAGCACAAAGATGTTTTAAAAAAAAAAAAAAAGGAACAAAAGTATGCCCTAATGTAATTCAAGCCTGACAGGCACTATTGTTAAAATAAATCTCTATCCTGGATGGACAAAACCCTCAGCTGGCGTTAACTTGCATGATTCTGCTGCTCTTTAACGGAAAGATAAAAAGTATCCTTAGGATCTTTCCTGTGCGCAGGTAAAGTGCTGTGCATGTATCTGTATACAAGGAGAATTTACAGAAGCTAAAACTAGTTATGGTAGTGTGGTTCTGCATTTGGAAGTCAAAGAGTGGTAAGATAACATGGCACAAGCAAATTGTGTTTCCTCATCTGCCATGAGCGCAGACAAGTGATTTACACCCGTCACGTTTTGTTAAGTCTTTGAACCAATTCTGAATAGCTCAGCCCCAAAGCAGGTGCTATGCATGAAGACTGAGGCTGATGGCCATGACTAGACTTTTGGGGATTCCTCAGAAAGCCTGCCCAGAAAGGTGACCTGTGCTGAAGGGTCAGTGCCGTAGGGAGCGTAATGGCCCGGAGGGATTTGTGCAGGGATGTCTCTGACCCTGCAGCTGCCTCTTTCCTCACCTGTTTCAGCACAGAGTGCATCTGATGTTTATAAGTGTGCACATCAGAGGTGGAAATCTCACCTATTCCAGTTCTTAGTTCAAACTCCTGAGATCCCTCTAGTGGATTCCATTGGCCAAACTGATCCCCCCGTGTAACTCAGCTAATACTGGTGAGGTCACACGAGGGAGAGTTTGGGTACAAGGCAGATAGATGCACTTTTACACCAGCAAGTGAATAATGATGCAGTAACCTTGACGTAAGAATTGAGGAATGTAGCTGGGTAGCAAAGGGATCTTTAGAAAACACTTCAGCAACCAAAAATTCCTGAAATATTCAATCTTTCAATTCCCTCCTGTATCCCAGAAGTCACTCATTCTCCCTTTTGAGTTTGTCCTGGACAAATGATCTCATTATGGTCATGCACCGCAAGCACATGCTGAGTGAGCTCCGCTTCTCCTCTGGCACTACGTAACATTTTTCACTTTGCTTTTTGGAGATCAGTTGTAGGCTATACCTGTCTTTTCTAGGCACTGACTGACCTCAGCTGCTTTTCTCACAGCCAAGGCAGATCTGTTATTTCCCTGCCAGGCTCCTCTGCACCCACCATCTGTACAACAAGCTCTTCATGTGTTTCACTGGAAATGCAGGCACTGCTCTTGGCCCACCTGCTGCCTTTGTACCCCCCTTCCTCTGCAATGTCGGTAGGCACCCTTACAGCAAAGCATTAGGTCTGAATGGCTGAAGGGATTGCCCAGCATGCTGGCAGAGCCTGGCATTATGAAGAGAATTTAAAAAAAAACCACAATCCCCACAGTTTTGGAGGCGATAGATGCTTTTTTAGGTCCTGATGAATCACTTTTCTCCTGAAATTGCATCTCTATCA